ACTTGAATTCATACTAAATGAGAATTAGATTGCATCCAGGACTAGCTGAATTTACACCCTTATAGCAATAATTCCCTGCATGTATTTTCACATGAACATGAAGAGAACTTAAGTTTTCTAGATGTATCTTGTTTTTAAAGTTAGGCTTCTTTCTTTCAGCATGTCACAATATCCCCAAATTCATTTTAAGGCATTTCAGGATGTTGCAACAGATTTCCAATGGCAGCATGGAGTATTCAGTTTTGAACAGATTAAAAAAAAAAAAAGAAATCTTCAATTCTGTTCTTCTACTTCCTAAAAAGTTCTAATTAAATTAAGTGGCATTCTTCTGCAAGACTCAAGTAGTGTGTAATGGTTGTGTTAGAAGGCATTTTTCTACTTTCAAATGGTATATTGTGGGCAACCTGACCATATGTAGGAATGAAGCATCCATGGCCAAATTAACTGACAAACAAGTCACTTTCAAAGAAAACTTTCATAGCTGTTTATGCTGCCACCATCCACACTTTTGGGGTCAGGGTTGCTCAGGATTGCATGGAAAAACCTCTTGGCATTTTAATTTTAATATCATGGTGAAAGCAATATCAAAGCTTTTGTTCTTAAATCACTATAAAATTAAACATCATCTGTCAGCAGAGGGAATGCTGAAAAGAACACTGCTAGCATTTTCTCTGATATGATCCTCCAACATGGAACTACAGTGCTTCAATCTATACTGTAATTACATACTGCAGGGTTACCATATGACTACTGTCAACAGCTGTAGTCCAAGAAAGACGACTCTTTAGTGCTAGAGCACTATCTTAAGGCAGTAACAAGATACAATAAAGTAAGTTCCAGAGAATTTATGACTTTGCCTTTGTCACTTACTGTGGAAACTTTCTTGTATGACTTGTTATATGAAGATAAATGAAATTGTCTTTAAATCAGAAATATCAATGCCCAATAAGGGGAAAATCTACGGAAATTTATCACATTTATGAGACTAAATTTTCCTCTTCATTGTCTTGTGAAACCTGTTGAATAGAAGACTACTTCTGGTTATGTCTCCCTATTTAATGATGTACTATGGATGGTGGAAACATTAAGAAATGAACTATAGAGTAAAATGCTTTCTTAGAAATGAATCACCTTTTTTCCCCAAAGTTATGCCTGAACTTAAAGATTTTTTCTAAATGTAAGAATTAAAGAATTTTTATAAATACACTAATGATACACTATTCTTTAAGGATACTTTTAGATAAAATTAATATCTTGGCTACATTATGACTCACTGCAGATTTTCAGTACTGATAATATGCTTTTGTTATCCTGTGATACTTGGAACACTGGAAAACTGCACACACACACACAAAATAGTCTTGTGACACTTAAGTCACTTCCCAACATGAGACATAACTAATTTTCTAATGTGACATTAAAAAAAAAAAAAAGTGAGTAGGGCAGCAGAATTTTCTGGAACAAATTTGAGCATTCAGTTTGTTGGTCAGATCTGGTACTTAATTGTCAGTAATAAAACAGTTCTTTTGTCACACAAATAACTAACCTCAAGTGAAATGGTTAAGGAAAAAAAAAAGTTTTTTCTGAAGTGCTAGGGACACATCACAGGGCAAGACCTATTTAGCATCTCTTTCAAAAATGATACGTCAAACCATCTAGTTACCATGGTCCATCAAGATTTTTTTAAACCAAGATATCAAGGAAAACACACAGATTTGAATGGTTGATGGGATCTGACATGTATTATACAGCACTGCATTTTCGCACACCACTGTATTATGCCCAAAGATCTGTGTTTCACTTCAGTGTATCTTTTATGTGAGCAAAATGATCTCAGTTTTCTCTCAATATAGTGCAAGGATGTTATTTTCCAAGAACTGTAAACAATCAGAAAGGGAGGTTTGGAGTTGCTTGAAGATGCTGTGTATTGTACAGGCACCCCCTTACTTTGCCAGTCAGGCCTTCCCTACCCACAGCTGCTACGATTAATCCGCTGCTTTAATAGGGAAGGGTGTCAGCACTTCAGAAAAAATCCAAACTGTCCTGTTTGGGGACGTAAGGTCATGGAATGGCTTTGTTGTTCTCTCTTATTTCCTCCATCTTCTTGGGGAAATGAAGCTTGATCACTTCAACACCATGGCAGGTTTTTTTTGAGTATTTGGAGATAGAAAAGTTTCTGTGTGAAGTTATCAAAATTAGAAATATCATACATATACATGAGTCAGAATTTAATTTGATTGAATAAAGGCACAAAAATAAAAAGCCAAAATAAAAAGTTATGGTATATAGAGATTTTCTGTTCTCCAAATGTGTAATCACGGACACATGATGTAAAATATCTCAGCATAAAGGAAAATGAGTTTAGGAACAATTCACAAGACAGTTTGAAAATTCTAGTGTGAATAACATAAGAAATCCATCAAATTCCTAAGTATACTTATTTTTAAAAGCTTTTTAAAGACAATAATACAATTTTCAAAATTTACAGACATTCTAGCTTTCCTGAAGCAAGCCTTGGATTTCATAATAGTAACATAAAAAAATTCTGAGAGACCTATCACAAATTTATATCCAACATGCCTTTAACCCAAGGATTACTGTCCAATTCTCTTTGGTTTACTTAGGACCCTTAACAAAACATATTATTTGATTCTTCAAAGCAAGGTCCCTTCCTGACAGCAAAATTCTATTTTGCTGTCATAAACAATTACAAATATACATCCATGAAAACATTCCCAGTTTCAGGGGCATAATCTATTTTAGACAGTAAATCACTGAGACATCTTCATCCCTCAGGCAGCCAAAATACACAGGTCAGATTTATGAGATTTCACATTGAATTCCCCAGACTTAAAGAAAAATGCAGACATCTACCCTGTTTCCTAAGACAACAGATAAGAAAAAAGGGCATTTGAAGAAAACAAGGTATTTGTTTTATTCTGTTGTTGTTGACTTTCCAGTTTCAGCTAAGTTCTTTGCCATTCTCTAAGCAAACACCATTAATAAACAAAAACCTGTAACACTTTAGGTGGTGACAACAGTCGTTACTCAGGATATCATGCTGAGATTTCATTTAAGGCTAAATCTGAAATTTTTCTTCATAGGAGAAGTATCACTTACATAAATGCAATTGTGCTTCTGAATAAGAATGTTTAGTCTTTGTGTTCTTTCTTTCATAGGTTTGCCTTCCCCACTAGCATAAATTCTGTATTTTAAACAAATAAGATGCACTTTTTCATGAGTTAATCCATATTGAGCCAGAACATCAGGAAACCACAACTGCATAAGTTATTCTTCTATCAGAGGCAAATAATACCGCATGGAAAACTCTGCTAGCATGAGCTGAGAATAATAAATAAGAGAATTTGGAACCAATATGTAGCAGTATAGAAAACTACGAAAAGGCAGCACCAGCACTACAGAAACAATATTTAGAAATGTCTTACTACTCACATCTTTTTAATTGTCTTCATAAATGCCTACCTGGAATACTCTGATTTGTTGAAGATTTAGCATGCTCTTCCAGTTGTTGGCTACCAGGAATGATGGGGGGACTGAACACGTTCAACCAGTCCCTGAAAAATACAAATCAAAATATCATTCATAAAAGCACTGCAGTTAATACAATACTTAAATGCTAAGGCTTCCTTCCTTCCTTAGCCTTTTCACCTGTTCACACTAAAAATCTGTGTTTTAAGTCAGGTTTGCTTTGCAGATTTCAGCTGGTATTGCTCTCTCAGCAAACGGTGTACGAGGCATGATCCATAATCCACAGAGCTATACCTTGAAAGCCTATGGGACTCATGAGAATCTTTTTCTGAGAAATAAAGACTTGGGATGAACAACCTGTGTTTGATGAGAGACTGTGGGGGTCAATTTGATTAAAAATCCTTACCCTGTCCAAGGAAAAAGGCTTAAAGACAATCACAAGAGATGTGCTTGCTTACCACTGACACGGCATTGCTTGGGTGACACAGCACATGCTTTCATAGTCTGGATGGTTGGTGAGTTAGAGCTGAGCTTAGACATGAGATGGATGCCACAGCATGATACCAACTCAGTGCTCATGAACTGTGGGATACCTGATCTGTATTAAATAATGGGATCTTTCCAGCTGAATTTACCTTTAAAAGTTTTCAATAAAGGGCTGGAATTAGTGGTCAGAGCCAAAAATAACATACAAATGGTTTTCTAGTGTTTTTAAGAAGGAAACAGTGGACTGAGTCAGGACCTTATTGTTGATAGAATTGTTGATATTGAAAAAAAAAACTTTGCTAGGTAAATATGTTACAAACAATTGTTTGTAACAATTTTTTTATGGATATAAAATGTTCTGTGTTAGAAATAAAAAACCTGTTATTGAGCTTAACATGATTTTAGCTACTGGCAAGACTATACAGACGACTCTTCTCATCACAGCTGTCACATATCTGTTTTGCTTCTGTAAAAAAAGTTTTGATGGGATCTTTATCATAGAGCAGGGAGTATGGACCTTCCTCATCTATTCAGTTTAATGCACAATTTATGCCTCTCCTAAACAGAACTTTGTGATAGCTTTTAAAAATTATTTTCACATTATCATACATTCATGCAAAGTTCAATGTTCAATTTCACGTGTGCCACTTTATGATACACTGTCTTTGACTGTTACAGCTCAAAGAAAGGAAAACAGAACAGTTGATTTTATTGTTACTGCTTTTTATTGCAAACTGAACTGCAGATTTTTTCACTGAAAAAGTGGGTAGGAAACACAAGACTGAGAGGTCACTCATATCATATTATCAATCAGAGAAAGAAAGCCCTGGAAGGACACATCTAAGTCACAAACTTCAGACATCCCTTGTGCAGGTAACCACATCTTGTAATTCTTTTCATACATGAAACTAATCTCTGTACACTGTGCACAGCTGATGCTGCCTTAAGTTCCCATCTCTCCTCTTTAACAGTAAAGAGCTGTAATACATTAAAGCTTCAATATAACTTGACTAAACAACTGCAAGTTAACACTTGAACACAGAATTCAAGGGATCTCAATAAATCATCTCATTTTGATAGAACCAGATCCATCCTTTCTGATCAACCTATTTCACTGCAAGGCAAGGGGAATGGAAGGGAAAAGGGGTCTTTATGGGAACAGTTGTAGGAACAGCGCAGCTCTACCGACTAAATTAATCTCGGTTTGGGGTTGATTCAACTTATGTCTGGCCATGGCTGCTCCAACAGCTGGCACAAAAACATGCATACAAACTTATGCTAGAAGCCAGGAGGATTAGCCAGAGCTGTAGAGGTAACTTCAACATCCATGGCTTCCTCTAGAAGGGATGAAATTTTCCAAAGTTTGACAGATTTCTTTACCCTGCCAGACTGTAATTGTCTCAATTCAATTGTCCAACACTAAGTAAACAGGTAATGTACTTCTACTTTCTGAAAAGCCTTGATAATCTCATGTAAGATTTGCTTCTGACAGAGAAATCTGGCACGGCTCAGTCATGTGTTATAATTGCTAAAATATACCAATTGCTTCTTTTTTTTGTTAGTTTTTCTGCTACTTCTAGACTTGTTATTGATTCCACATCATCTCCTGTTGGCATGTATGCATAATCTGGGGTGAATCAGGGGACAACCACCTATCTATTTGCAGTCAAAATGGAAAAAACTAATTTTCTGCCTCAGGAAACAGAACTGCTGGTATAGAAATCCAGCAAGTAGTATAGCAGATTTAAAGGAAGAGATATTGAATTTTCCATCATTTCAATACGTAAAAAACATACTTCAAAAATTTTTATACCACCATATTATTTTCACATATATGGCCAACTTCACAACCAATCCTTCTCTTTTTCTGCTGTGCAGCTAATGCCAGTGGGAACCAGTACAACTAATCCACACAGCAATATGCTTGCCTAGACATCTCATTATTAGCTCTCTCTGCCTTTGCTCACTGTATTTGCATTCCCTGAATACAGCCCAAGACTTTGTTTACACCAAAGCTTCAAAAGTTTTTAGGAATGCATGCTATGTTATCCATTTAGTTAAATGCATGCTGTGATAGCCAGTAGAACAGCAGAATGTATTTTTCCTTTCTGCCACTTGCATGTGTGGTTTGTGCTGCCTCAGAATCAGTCAACGTAAGCCTAACACTAGAATCTGACCATGGTTTTAGGACGTGGTCAGAGAGCACGAAGCATTTTCACTTACCTGATTCTCTACAATTGCACTGAAACACAATGTCAGCAAAGGCAAACTCCTGGAGAAACTGCGGCAATTATAGAGAAGGTAAGGACGAACTGTTAGTGCTAATCTACATCTCTGCTTCCCTTTCTTCCAAATTCACTACAGCTTTTTTAAAAGACAGTGATATTTGAGATCCAGAGAAGAACTAGAATATTTCTGCTAGGAAGACTGCTGAAGCAAAAGTGGTGCAAGGACAGAGGAAAGACAGTGCTTGTTTCTAAAGAGAATTATCTCAGCCAGACCAGCAAATGTAGTTAGAAAAGTAAAGAAGCTTTAGAGTATATATGCAGTTCTACAGGTCTGGCACAAACCAGAAGAGTTTGAATATACATGTTTTTCATATAAAATATTTATCAGAGAATTACTAAAGAAACTAGTGGTACCTGGAAAGCAGAGAGAATGTTAGTAAGAAGGAAAGAAAGATAGTAAGGCAATTAACCTCCAATGTTTTAGGAATGCATGCTATGTTATCCATTTAGTTTAGAAAAGAAATAGACAATTCTTTTAGAGAATACTAAGAGAGGGAGGTAATCATGTGTCATTGAACCAGTATTTCTGTTAAATAAATAGTTCTTATTGCTTAGGAAATTTATGCATTTTAGTTCGAAGACTCATCTCTGGAAGGTCTTCCTGAAAGATCAAGCTTGAGAAATCAGAGATGGGATGATTTGTGAGTAGCTGGATGATTTTTGTCTTTGATTCTGTCCTTCATTTACTGGAGTCAATTCTCATGTAAAGGAGTTGTTAATTTTCTTCTTTATATTTATTTTGATGAATCTGGTTTAGTAGATGAATTATTATTTTCTCTAGTAGGTACAAGTGCAAGATCTAGGGATTTTGATGGTTCTAAAGGGAGGCAAAGGAGTGTTTATTTATGATAGAGGCAAGAGACACGTGTTGGCAATTTTAATATTTCCTATTAAGACAGTCTAGATTCAGTTCGTGTTTTTTTCTCTCAATGTCCAAGAAAAACTAATAGTTTTCCTATTCAAACCCCTCCCAGTGAGACAAGTAATGAAAACACTACAATATTAGGCATTCGTTGTTGACTTAATATTACTTTTAAGGTTGAAACATTTTACACAATATATATTAAAAAATAGTTTATTAGTTCTACAAGTTACTTAGCAACATCTAAACCAACTTTTCCTAAAATCTTGAAAAAACCCCCCAAACCTCCTCATGAGTGCTGAAATCTTCTTGGCCAAATTGCAGTAGAGAGTACATATTGGCAGTTGATTGATAAGCCTCTGAAAAGTGGGATTACAGTGGTAATTCTGATAGATGCTGCAGTCTAGCAGTCAATACAGACTTTTCCACAATGAAATCTGCAGTTGCTTTTAGGAAGTAATTAAAGCATGTGTGTATGTATGTGTGAGAGAGTGTACGAGTTAATTAAAAAAACCCTGAAAAATTTGTAGACCTTGCCTAAACGTAGAGCCCAGCATAAGACAACCAGCAATATTCTGAGAAATGCAGACTGTGGCCTGTGTTCCCATTTATTGTGTTTTTATCCTGTCTGAATAAAGAATATTTTTGGGGGAACTTCTTTAAGAAGCTAGTTTATCTCTTTAAAACAGAAAAGCTAATCACACATTCTGACTAATTAAAGACACTCTATTTATGCTATCAATGCCTCCAGCTGTAATTAATACAATCAACATGCAGTAAACTATGTAGAGCTTTCCTGATAACAATGTGGAATGCTAAGTACTGTCTTTTGACATTGTGAGTTGCATTGTATGAAGGCTCAGAATAGCTTCCACACATATTCAAAGCATCACGCACCTTTAATGACTGCACTGAATTTCTTCATTATTCTGAAAGCTGTTCTCCATACCAAAATATAATAAAAATATTACATAATCTTGTTATATTATGGTCTTTTCTTAAAAAATACTTTCAGAAAATAATTGTCATACATTGAAATATCACGATAGCTGAACTGTGATGGAAAGTAAAAAGATCTTTTGGACTTATGATCATCATTTTCAGTTTTATGACAGTATGTTAAATTTGCAGAAAATGGCATCCATCAGTAAGATCTGTTGAGAAAATTAGCGATGCTTTATTAAGCATCACTTATCAATGACAACATATTAAAATTCTTACCCTCAACAGAAATCCAAAGAATCAGAGGGTTTTGATTTAAATCTTACCAAACACCTTTGATACTTTTAATTTTTACAGATATTCTTACTTTTTAGTCTATCCTACTGGCTGGGCTGAGAAAATGGCAAATCACTTAGTATAAAGATTTTTAACATTGCTGTTAATTGGGATAGCATACTTCATCAAGGGGGAATGGTTTGAAGCTGCGCCAGGGCAGGTCTAGGCTAGA